TGGATTTCCAGTGCAAACACTTGAAATTCTTCATCCTGTTCTTCTTAGTTGGGAAGGTAGGTTCTAGAAAGGTGATCCGCTGAGTACCTTTGTGAACCAGGTTTATACTGGACATCTAGGTTGTAGCGTTGTAGTCAGAGTAACCGTGATCCGCTGAAGTCTGCAGGGAGCAACTAATACTGACTTCCTAAATTTTGCTTGCAGTGGTTTATGATCAGATTCTACAATAATCTTCTCTCTTCGGGCTAGGTACTGGTTAAATTTTTGGCAGGCAAATACGATCGCAAGACATTCTTTTTCTATTTGTGCATATCGTTTTTCTATTTGTGCATATCGTCTCCCAGTAGGTGTAAGTGGCTTCCCTTTCTGCAGAATGGTAGCTCCAGTATAATAATTTTTATATTAAGGACAACTTTTGGTGTTGAATTGAGAGAGCGTCAAAGTGTTCTTGACGATGAAGTTGTAAAGATGCTGTACCAACAAGTCGATAATTGTATCTTTGACGTCATAAACATACTCCGGCTTAAGTTGCTAACCATTCAAGGACTTCTACAATTTTCGCCTTAACAACAATTGTACAACAAAAGCAGAAGATTACCTACCGCATATACTGATGACCGAGGTCTTGGGTAATTGTTGCTAGGGATAATTTAGAAAGTGAGCTTTTATGTGAGAGTCATATATCCTGGATCTTTAAATCTTTCAGGAAGGAATCGTCATAGTTGACAGCCCTGGCATCGGCGAATCTGCTATTACGTATGACATGGTAAAAGCATACCTTCCAGGGGCTCTCCTATTTATCTACGTTATCAATAGTTCAAACGCCGGTGGAATACAACGAGACAGGGTAAGAGACGTAATATAATGACCGCCATCTAGCTGTACGATGCCAAAAAATGAGGGGACAATGATAATCAATTAGTCGGTCGCGTGAACACATATATGTGGCATTGTTAGAAATGCTACAAGAAAATTGTCTGCGGCTTAACGTATTTGTTTGTTTGGGAGCCCACTATAAACCTGCAAATTTCAATTCAACCTGGAAATAAGAAACAAAAGTTTCCCTGTGGATGTACCCTATTTATATAATTTATTTCTTATTATATGCTTTGTCTTCGAAAAGTTCAAGGAAAGTAGGGTCTGGCACGGTACGTTGACATTGGAATACTATTACTGAAGGGCGGCTTAAAGATTAACAAGAGAGAAAGAGAAAGAGAAAGAGAAAGAGAGATCATAGCTACATTGAATAGACCACGCAATGACGAATAGAGGATATCAATTGATAAACGAACCATCATCATGATAATTTTTGATAAATTCCAGTCTTCTGTTAACAATGCTCCACTGAAGATCATTTGCGCTGTCACCTCACTGTCCAAGTACCTCACGTCTCCAGATGTTGTGCAAAAATTCACCTCGTGGACATTGGTTGATACTCTACGGGCGATGGAGAAATGGGAAGTGACCAAATTTTACATTCAAGAAGCATTAACGAAGCGACTTTAGAACTTTATTGAAGCATGGGAGGAACATGTCTTTTCCGGCGCTCGTGGCTCTTTGATTCAGCACTTTCAACAGCGATACAGCTATGTCGTGGAACAATTTGAAAACCTGGAGAGCTTCTCCATAGCAGATGATGTGCCTTTTCTATCAAATGACTGCCTCCCTTGAAAGAAATTCTCTGTGGCTAGCAAAGTAGTAATAGGGGTCACAAGTCCTATTTGGATTCCAATTGGCGTGGTTGCCTTCGTACTCTGTGTTCCAGTGGTCGGGGTTATGACTATGAAAGAAAAGTTAGAAAATTGGAATAAAATAAGAAAGTGCGAAAACAAAAAATGTAGCTTCATGGCAAAAGCTTCTTTGGAATACCTTTTTGAAGCGGCTAAACGGCAGAATCTGAAGTCTCTTGTGGTCGAACAGCTTAACGAGGCTAGAGTCTGTCTCGAGAAGGTTGCAAATCGCATTCCCGAGCTCATCAAGGCTGACAAAATATTTTGCCAGAAACTGACAAATGACAACAGCTCACAGAAAGAACTAGATTTCTACAGACCGATACATGGAAAAAGGATGAAAAATGGCCTGGCACAGATCCATCATGGATGCGACGATCTAGAATTGAGGGACGATCGAATTTCAAAGTTAACAATGGCCATAGAGGGACATTAAAGACGCGAACTCGTTCAAGTAGCTGTGAAAGTGTGGAATGATGAACTTGAAAAATTTGATGCAAGTGACTTTCTTTCCGAAAGAGAGACACCGAGGTTAGTTTCCTTAATGCAGTTTTCATGTCTTCCGCGCTGGTTTGTTATCTCTTTCTAGCCCTTTGTTTATTTGCTTGTTTCAATTGTCTTAAAGCCTTTTTGTTTTGTTTTGTTTTCTCTTTTATTAAAACATTCACCAAAAAGTAATTTTTTGGGCTTCACGTTTTTTGATGGTTTACAATTTTTGAAAGAAGAAATGAAACAATGAAAACAAAATGTAAAAATGTAACAACATAATGAAATCATAGGGTGGCAACAATGAATTGATGAAACAAAGAGTGATATTGTTTCAAAGACACCAGCTTGAAGGTAATTCATGAATCTCATTTTTTTTAGGAAGCCGAATCATCCATTCAACGTTAAGTTCTGTGGTGCTGCACAGATTAGAAAAGAAGATCGGCTGAGAGTAACTTTCGTGATGGAACTCTGCAAGGAAAACTTGATGGGAAGCACTTTCCAGAATCAGGACTATATACCTGTCCTCAACGCCTGGTGCCGCGAGAGATGTAATTCGATGGGCGAGAGACATCGCCAATGCTCTCGAGTTCATACACAGTCAGGGCATTGTTCACAGAGATTTTAAGTTGGAAAACATCATGGTAAGTACGAAAAATGACACACGAATGAAGATGGGAATGGCCCCCCTTTGCCTACTTTGCGTCTTTAATTTTGCGATATTAAGTAGGAGAAGGAGGGAGATAAATCGTCACTTTTAAATTCACTGCTTGAATTTGTGCAGATAGTTATGCAGAAAAGGCCACCTTTTGTTCAAAATAGTCCAAATTTTATCATATTTCAGAAGGGGCATGTGATAAAAAAAGCCCAAACATTCTCTAGCTCTTACATTTATACTGCATCGAAGCGAGAACCGCCGCAGACTTAACAGAAAAGAAGTACAAATGAAGCTTTCCAGTAAGCTTAAAAGAGTCTTCTACTTCTGTCTTTTGTTATATGCATTATTTCAGAGCTGAAACATGAAGATGATGTCAGGGTCACTAATGTCAATGTTTCTAGAGAAGCCAAGATGACCACAGGAACATGAAGGAAACTTTTTACATTGCCTCAGAAGTGATCAGATAAGGGTTTTACGATAGCAAGGCTGATATCTACAGCTTTGGTATAATGCCCTAGCAGATGTGGTATGGGAAGAGAGCCCTTACAGATAAAGAGGGAGACGCTAGAGTGGTTAGTGGTCAGGATGCTGAACGTAACAGGCAAACGCAAGTCGACCAAGACAGGAAGAAACCCCCGCCTGAATGGCAAGATCTATTGCAGGGTTGCTTGGATGAAGAAGTAGACAAACGACCAGATGCCCCAGCATGTCATCAGAAGTTGGCCATGCTCTACCGGGACACAGCTCCACCCATTTGAACTCTGATAATTTGAAGAGAATCTCTGAACGATTTTGAGAATAATACTAATGAATGTATATATATATATATATATTATACCAAGGAGAATTTTGAAGTCTCTCTAGAATTACAGCAGACAAGATTACATAAAATATATTCTCTTTACCCTATAAAATAAACACCATTAGTCTCGTTAGCTTCTGAAGGGGGCTTACGGAGTTGTACGATGAAGATGCAGTGAGTAGAGACAGTCAAATAAATATAGAAGTGAACTTTTTTCACATGATTTCAATGGGTGGGTTTAGATCAAGATTATGTTACTTGGGATTTATAAGTGCAAAGGCAGACCTCGCAGACCTCACCGTGTTGTGTGGTTCTCCAAAAAATTAAGCAAAGTCTGTAAACAATCAGATAGTGATGATTTTGACGATTACTGCGATAAGGCAGATGACGATGGGAATGAGAAAGAAAAATTTCAATCAGTTATGTACAGAATTGTCGGTGATTTAAGATGAGTTCTTGTTCATTACGATGATACTAGGTATACGACTATTTTGTAACTTTTTTATGTTTCTAAGGGAAAGGTTCTCTCAAAACAAAATGATTAAGGTTTTCCGTTGTGCGCAATGGAAACTTGAAGACTTGATCTTTGAGAATTGCAAAAGTTTGTATTTGTTGTGTGAAATGTAATTCTTTCCTGCACCTATTAAATAAAATGGTTACTAAAGAGATATTGCGTTCAATGATAGCCCGAATAGATTTTTGAATTTTCTTGAGAACAGGCTATAAGATGCTAA